GAATGGGGAATGGGACTAGAGCTTGGGGCTGGGTTGTTGAGACTGCAGCAGCAACTAAAGGCCTGGACCCCACCTCCAGGTTCGAGGACAGCCGGCTGGACATGTGTGTCTATGAGCTGCACGTGTGGCTGCTGGCAGCAGACCGCCGCACGGTCATTGCACAACACCATGTGGCACCCCGGACTTCTGGGAGAGGCCCCTCTGGCCGCTGGGTGCAGGTGAGGCTTCCTGTCCCAGTCCTCACCCCCAGACATGTGTTTGTCTCCCAAGACCTGGGGAGGTGGGGAGCAGGTCTGTGGGTCCCTGGTAAGGACTCTTCCTAATCCCGATGATGCACAGGTGTCCCACGTATTCCGCCATTACGGCTCTGGCGTGCGCTTCATTCACTTTCTGCACAAGACCAAGAACCGCATGGTGCCTGGTGGCCTGCAGAGGACGAGGGTGACAGACTCCTCCGTGTCCGTGCAGCTGAGGGAGTGACTGGCTGAGCCCATGCCTGTCCTCGCCCCTTGTCTCATCTAACCACCTGACCCCCCAGATGTTACTTAATTCCACTGAGTCCCTTAGCACCACCTGCTCCCATGGGGCCCCTCTCACCTCCTAGGCCCCTCAATCCTGTCTGGTTCTGGGTTTCCCATCTTTACACGTCCTGGTGTGTCTGACTCTCCAAGCTCTGTGAGGGCAGGGGCCCCGCCTTTCTTGTCAGAGAGCAGGTGCTCAATGACCCTCAGCTGAGTAAATGAATAAATAAATATAGGTGCCCAAGGATGCATCCAGTTTCTGCTCCTTAGAATTTCTCTCAGTTCATCTTCTGTCCACACACTCTCTAGCCCTTGACCCTCCAGCATCTTAAAAACCTGTGTACCGGCTCGGCACCTATAGCTCAACCGGCTAAGGCGCCAGTCACGTACACCTAAGGTGGCGGGTTTGAATCCCCAGCCCGGACCCGCCAAACAACAATGACAGCTGCAACCAAAAAATAGCCGGGCGTTGTGGCAGGCGCCTGTAGTCCCAGCTACTTGGGAGGCGGAGGCAGGAGACTCGCTTGAGCCCAGGAGTTGGAGGTTGCTGTGAGCTGTAATGCCACGGCACTCTACCCAGGGGGACAGCTTAAGGCTCTGTCTCAAAAACAACAACAAAAAAAACACCTGTGTAACTTGACCTTGTGCACCAACCTTGACCTCTGATCCTGTCACGCATCTCCAGTGGATGGACTCTCAGCAGCTCCACTTAACCTCTCCTCCTGTATCTCTGACTCTCAGAGTCTCCCCTACTCTCTCCAGCTGTTCCCAGGTGTCATTCTCCAGAGCAGTCCCCATATCTTTCCTCCCAGGACCCATTGTGTATCTTTTCCAGCTTCCCCAGAGTCCCCAAACCCAGGTATCCATCAAGGTCCCTCATCTGTGGGGGTAATGGGGACACACATTGCCACCAAAATTGAAACAGGAAAATCTGATCTGAAGTGTTCTCTATGTATGGGGGAGGCGCTATTGAAAGTATTTAACACCCTGTGTGTCCTGGGCTCCAGCCAGATCACTCTAGGGCCTCTGGCTCTAGCCTGGGGCAGAGTCCTAGAAGACCCTCTATTATCCCATGCAGGAATCAGATGGGGTCTACAGGGACCCGGGAGGCTAGAACAGCTCAGAGAAGGGCTGTTTAACAAAAAGGGTAAAAAGCATTTCAACCTTTAACAATCAGCCAGCATTCTCCACACGCGCCATACATATGTCCTTCTGTGGATGCAGGTCTTGTGCATGCCTAAAACTGTGTCAGAATCTATGGTGTGTCCCCATCCATGGCATTGTCCTAGGTATGGGCTGACCCATAGCTGCTCTTTACCCCATCCCACCCAGTCCTGTGTGGACTTGGGTCCCAAGTATAAGCAGATGGCAGACACTGACAACTTCACATAGGCTGTATTTCAGGGAAGGTGATGGGGCAGGCAGAAAACCTCTCCTTCTGGTTCTTGGGACCTGGAGCAGCCCCCAGGGACAGGTCAAGTGAGGGGCTGTGTTGGAGGGTGCAGATGAAAGACCTCCAAGGCATCAGGAGCACCTGCAACATAATAAAAAATTTCCATCAGGGTGTGCCAGGAGCTCAGAGATCCGGAATATGGCAGGTTCTAGAAGTCTGAGGCAGTGTGGGAGTTGAGGAATCTTGAACTGAGGCTCCAAATTCAGGAATTAAGGGTGGCCTGGAAGAGTTTGGGGATGGGAGCTCTTGGGGAACAGGGAGAGCTGGGATGGGTTTGTGGGGTGCCACCACTGGGATCTAGGGTCCTAGTGCCAATGAGCTTGGATATAAGAGCAGGGAGGGCTCAGGGCCCTCCAGGGTTGAGACTGTGGGCTGTGGGACTGGTTTTAGGGGCCAAGGCTGATCTAGAAGGTCCAAGTGGGTAGGAAGCATGAGGGCTAGACCAGTCCTAGAGTTGAGTCTGGAGTCTTGAGGTCTGGGTCAGTTTTAGAGTCTGCGAGTCCTAGAGTAGTAGGGTCTGAAGTTTTCAGATCTGATGATCTGGGAGCAAGGAATGACTTTGGTTCAGAAGGCTCTAAAGTGAGGCGGATGCTGAGCTCCCATGGCTAGAGTTAGCCAGCCCTGCCTGGGGATGCAGCTATGGGTACAGCCTGGAGGAGGATTCGGTAAGGTGGGGACGGGTGCTCCCAGAATGGAGGCTGGGAACTGGGTCACCTTCTGAGCCTGGGAATAGGAGGGGCAGGGGCTGCAGGTAGGGTGGGACTGGGGCCCTGGGGGGTGCAGAGAAGGTGGACCTGGTTTGGGTGTGGACTCTGAGGAGGGGGCCTCCAGGGCTGATGAGGGGGTGGGGTGGGGTGATCTGGTTATCCCTTTTGAGAAGGAATTTGGAGGTGTGGACCCGCCTTTCTAATGGGGTGCTGGGTTTGAGGGGGTCTGTGTGGAGGTGCAGCTGGGTCTGGGGACAGGCGGGCACCTGCAGTAGAGCGCCGAGATGGAGTTGGCCCAGTCTCCGAAGATGCCCTTGCGGTACTCCTCCAGGCGCGGGTAGGCGCCGGCCGAGAACTTGCGCGTCTTGCCTCTCTTGCCGGGGAGGGACCACACGGTGAGCTCGCAGCGCGGGGCCACCACGAGCGAGGAGGCGGTGTTCGCCCAGTTCGAGGGCAGGTAGGGCAGGTCGGTGCCCGGCTCCAGCGACAGCTCGGCACCGGAGCAGCAGTTTTCGTAGTAGGGGTCACTCTTGTCATAGAGCTTGGCGCACATGCGCGTCCCGTCCTCTCTCTTGAGGTCGCTGGGCACCGGGCAGGCGCCCAGGGCACAGGGGACAGCCACCAGGGCCAGCAGCAGCGGACACAGTGGGGACATGGCGACACTGCCAGGCTGCGCCCTCCGCGCGCTTTTAAGCTCCTGAGCCGTGGGAAGGGAGAAGCTGCGAGATAAGAGCTCCAGAAGGAAAGAGGGGAGAGGCAAGGGAAGGGGGAGGGCGGCCCCTCCTCCCGCAGGAGCCGGAGACCCGCCTAACCCGGCTCAGAAACCCGCATCTGACGAGTGCAAAGAAGGGGGCTGTGTCCATATAAAACTCAGCACCTTAAGTTGTTATATGACAACGTTATAAAGTCAGTAAAGAGGACTTGAAGAGGAGCCCTTTGCAGTGCAGAGAGCAGCGTAGGGTTGACAAATAAGTAGGAAGAGCTGTTAAAAATTGACAAGGAATAGAACAACCCTCCCTCTAAATAAGGGGAGGCTCATTGAGGAGGCGGGAGGGAGAGGCTGGGGTAAGTTCCCTCCTTGAGAGGCAGGAACTTGGGAAAGGAGTTGGCGATAAGAAGAGAGGCTGGGGGGGGGGAGAAGGAGAAAGGGGAGGGAGCAGGGAGCCCCCCCACCAGCCAAGGTTGGAAATCCAGAATCTGTGAAATATAAGCTAGATGTATTTGCATAACCCTTTAAAAATATTTGGAAGACAATCTACAAAAGGCTTGGGGAAATTTTTGCAACATTTTGGACAGCATAAAGTTATAGCTATAATATGTAAAGAGTGCTTACAAATTGACAAAAAAAATCACTCCCCACCACATACACACCCTAAGAACATGGCCAGGAGGCGGAAAGGGAGGGAAGAGGCTGCCATGTCACCCTCATTCCAGGAGTCAGGAGACTTTCTTAACTAAGGCTGAAAATCTTGAATCTATGAAATAAATGGTGGATCTGTTGAGCTGTCTAACATTTTAAAACTTTTTGGCTCGGTGCATGTAGCTCTGTGGCTATGGTGCTGGCCACCTGCACTGGAGCTGTTGGGTTTGAACCCAGCCCAGGCCTGCCAAACAACAATGATAACTACAACAGCAACAAGAAAATAATAGCCAGGCCTTGTGGTGGGCACCTGTACTCCCAGCTACTTGGGTGTCTGAGGCAAGAGAATCACTTAAGCTCAAGAGTTTGAGGTTGCTGTGAGCTGTGATGCCACAGCACTCTACCCAGGGCAACACAGTGAGAGTCTGTCTCAAAAAAAAAAAA